GGCCTCAGTGTCACCAGGGCAGGCTCAGGGGGGACATCAGGAGGAATTTCTCCATGGAAAGGGTAGTTAGGCATTGCCAGCGGCTGCCCAGAGAAATGATGTGGTGCCCATCTCTGCAGCTATTCTGAGGAGGAACTGAGAAACAGATTTGTGATGGGTTTTCCATGTGTTTTCATCTATCCCACTGCAGTTTGGTATCTTGCTGTCAAGATTTCTTAATCCTTAATGAAATGTTTTTGTCACAGCCTCAGCAGAGCTCCAAGCAGTGAACAATTAATGAACAATTAATGAACCATTCCTTCTGTCCCAGCAGGAAGAAGGGAAAGGCTGCAGAGCACAAGGACCAGCTCTCCAGGCTGAAGGACAGGGACCCCGAGTTTTACAAGTTCCTGCAGGAGAATGACCGCAAGCTGCTGGACTTTGATGCCTCGGACAGCTCAGAGGAGGAGGAGGCTCTGCACAGACCCCCTGACATCCTGGAGGTACCTGCTGGCATCACACACCTCAGTGCCATGGGCAGTGTTTGTGTTCCAGTGCCAGCCCTGAGTGATTTGGGCTGGACAGGGCCTTGGAACTCATCCAGCTCCAGCCCAGGCTGCTCCGAGCCCTGCCCAGCCTGGCCTTGGGCACCTGCAGGGCTGGAGCAGCCCCAGGTTCCTGTGGCAGCCTCACAGGGAGGATTCATCCCCATATCCTGGGCTGTCACCCCTTCAGGTGTTTATTCCATCTGAAGCATCCCTGCTTGGCACAGAGTGCTGGGGGCAGCACTCCCAATCAGCCCTGCCTGCTCACAGTGCTCAGTGAGAGCTGGGGCCAGCCAGGGCTTGTGGAAACCCTTCATCATTGATTCAGTCCCTCCTGCTGCTCTCTCTAGGAAGCCAGTGACGAGGATGAAGATGATGAGGACGAAGAGCAAGAAAAAGTCAAAAGGAAGAAAGTTTCCCTCATCCGTGTGAGCTTGAAGATGGTGGAGGAGTGGAAGAAAGCTGCCCAGGTGAGCAGGGAGTGGGAGCACACAGCACTGGGGAGTTCTCCTCCCTGCCTGTAAAAGGGCCTGCTTGGGGTTTGTTCATGTGGCACAAAGTTTATTTATTTATTTGTTCGTGTGGCAGAAAATTTATTTATTTATTTGTTCATCTTGCACGAAATTTATTTGTTCACCCAGCACAAAAAATTATTTATTTATTTATTTATTGGTTCATCTGGCACAAAATTTATTTATTTGTTTCTTTGTTTATCTTGCATAAAATTTATTTATTTATTTATCTGTTTGTTTGTTCATCTGGCACAAAATTTCTGTCCCCAGCCCCCAGAGCTCTTGTGCCTTCAGCCTGACTTTGGGCTGTAAAATTCGAGTGCTGCCATCCCATGTGAGGAGGAAGCTGCAGAAATGTGGCTCAGAAGAGGCCAGAATGATCAAATTTGGGTTTTTTACCCTCTGGCAGCAGCTCCAGGAGCTTTCTTAGTCCCATCTATTCCCTCAGCACTCTATTTTCTTCTCTCCCCAGAGGAATCTCACCCCAAAGCTCTTCCATGAGATCACCCAGGCCTACAAGGCAGCTGTGGCCACCACCAAAGGGGACAGTGGTGGTGACCCCAGCAAGTTCCAGGTGACTGACACTGCAGGTGAGGGAAGGGGAATCATCTGGGGGAGTTGGGATGAGCCCTGGCAGGAGTTATTCACCCTTTCAGTGCATTGAGGAGCTTGTCCTGTTCTGCTGCTCTGGGAGCTTTTCCTTCAACGGTGGCTTTGGTGCTGTTTCCTTGGGGAGGTGGCCCCTGTGCCTGCTGATCTTTGATAAAAAATGGAATGTGAGGCAGACTGGGGGTTTCTAGAAGGAAATGCAGGAGTTCTGCCATGGAAATCACTGGTTTCAGTTCCTCAGGGTCCCTTTTTCCCATGAGGAAAGCCAGAATTCATGGAAAATCACTTACAGTGCTGTCCTGCCTTGTTTTGCCCAGTGTTCAACGCCTTGGTGTCCTTCTGTATCCGGGACCTGTTCCACCACCTGCACAAGCTGCTGCTCCCCAAAGCCCCCAAGAACAAGCTCAAGTGAGTCTGGGGGGTTTGGGATGTTCAGGAATCTGGGGGGTTTCCAGAGCTGCCTTTGGACCTGGGGAAGGGGTGCCAGCTCATCCAAACTGAGTGTCTGCTGCTGCTCACAGGGCTCTCCTTTGCTTCCCCCAAGGAAGAAGGAATTGATCTCACTGCTCATTTTGCTGCTGAAATCTGAGTTATTTGGGTTTTTTTTAAAGCTAAACCCAACTCTTGCTCCTTTCCAGAATGGTTCTCCCTTCCACCAGCCCCCTGTGGGGAAAGCTACGACTGGACATCAAAGTTTATCTTGGCTGTACCATAAAGGTAAGAAACATGATCATTTTCTGTTTGTGGGTCACTCTGTGCCTTGCTGGGCTGTTTTGGGGTGAGGCAGGTGGGGTTTGCCCCCCTGAGATTTGTGTTCATTGTTTCCCTGGGTTGTTTTGGAATGATTTGGTCCAATTAACAATTTGGAGCTTCAGAGGATGCTTGGGTCAGAGTAGGTAAGGCAGTAAAGAAGGGTTGAATTAACATTCTGGCAGCTCTCTCTGTTTTAATTTGTCTGGCAGATTAATATTTAATAGGATTTAAAGGAGTTTTCAGTGTGTGTTCCTGCATTCTGCATCATTAATTCAGTTTTTGGTGCTGTGATCTCTGCACTTGAGGCAAACACTGAGATGTTCTCTTGGTGATCTCACATGAGGCATCTCTGACTGTGATAATGTTCCATCCCACCCATGCAAGATTTCTGGTGTTTCAGGGATGATTTATGGATTATTTCTAGAGGAAATTCCTGCCCCCACGTAATTTTATTTTGAGATTGCTTTGTTAGCATCCCCAAATTGGAATATTAAACCAAACCAGCACTGATTCTTCAGCTCTGAGGGAAGGGATGCCAGGAGTGACAACCAGGAGCTGCTGCTGTGCCTCAGCTGGGAGCTGGCACAATGACTTAGCAGAAAGAGCAATTGCATCAGGAGAGCTTTTTGCTTTTTCTTTTTTTTTTTCTTTTTCCTCAAGCTGTGGTGCCTCTCTCCAGCAGCAGAGCATTGCAGGCAGGGAAAAGCTGGGGATGCAGTCCCTGGGAGCAATCCCTGCTCCTGGGCTGCCTCCTGAGAGCCCTTAGCCCCAGCCTTCACCACTGTGGGTTTTCTGGCACCATTTCTGAACAAAATCTTCTCCTTTTGGTGTCCTTGGCCAAGTCTGCTCAGTCCAGAATCCTTGCAGAGCGAGGAGGAGGGTGAGGAGGCAAATTAAATGTGGACAAAATGCCTGTGCTGCTTCCAGCAGCTGGGGCTGCATCAGGCAGAGCCTCTCAGAGTCACCTGGAGCTCACCTTGACTCCAGATTGCAATCTGGGTTTGCTGCAGTGAGCTGAGCTGGACAAGCTGCACACACACAGATTTGGTTCCTCACATTTTGTCAGAGCCTTTCCTTGAGGGAGAGGTGACCCAAATACCCAAAGAGCTCCAGCTTCCCACCCAGAAATCCTGGAGAAATCCAGCGTGCTGCCAGGCAGCTCAGGTGATGTTTCCTTGTGCAGACTGAGGGGGAGTTGGGCCATTCTGGTGTCCTGCACTGCAGATAAATGGGATTTTGCAGTGTCCACGAGGGAGATGCTGTGAGATGAGCTCAGGGCCCATGAACCACACAGGGACAGCAGCCTGAGCCCCCAATCCCAGGCTGAGGGTCCTGCAGGGCAGCTCTCACCCTCTGCTCCTGCCCTGATCCAGCTGTGGGGTTTGTGTGAGCTCCTTCCTGGCCGAGCAGTGTTGGGAACCAGTGAAATGCAGCTGGCACAGGAGGGGGACAGCCCTGCCTGCCAACTGGGGGTGTTTTCTCTCCTCCACAGCTGCTGTCCTGCCTGACAGAGGCCTCAGTGGGTGCAGCAGTCCTGCAGCACGTCAACTCCACAGTCCCATACTACCTGTCCTTCCCCAAGCAGTGCCGGGCCCTGCTCAAGGTAAGGGCACAGCTGGCATGTGCCATTGGCCTCTGAGGTGCTTTTCCCTCCTTCAGCTGAGCATTTGTGGTGTTTGGGCTGCATCCTCTCCAGGCAGTCCCCTGTAGTGTTCCCTGCTTTGCTGCTGTTCCTGCAGAGCATTCCTGCCTCTCTGCAGGTGCCACGGGGTGATGCCAGGCTGAGGTGGCTGTGGGGGTGGCTCTGTTTGATGCTGCTGCTCCCCAGGGAGGTGTTTTGGGAAGCTGCTTCCTCCTCCCAGATGGAGGAATCGCTGCCAGGCCCTGGGAATGCCTGTGCTGGGGGTGGAATGTTTCTGTGGCAGCTCAGTCTCAGCTGCTGAGCGTGAGCAGCAGCACAGGAGGTGTGGGGGACACAGGGGCAGCAGGGTGGCATTGACTGCAAACTGCAGCTCTGCAGGCAGCCAGGGAGCCTTTGGTGCTGGAGATGGCTGGAACCAGGCAGGGCTGGAGGCTGGCACACCTCCCAGCTGCTGCAGGCATTTCTGAGAGGGCTTTTCCAGCCCTGCACTGAGCCCCCTCTCTGTGCTGGGCTCTTCACTGGTGCAGCTGAGCTGGCTGGGTGTGGGGGCACCAGGTGCTCCTGGGGGAGATGGAGTCACTCAGGGGAGTTCAAATGTGTGTTTAACCACACAAATGAAAGCTGTGTATTGTTTAGAGGTGCTGGTTTTGTACAGGTTGCTTTATTGATCATGGAAGCATCAGCCTGGGCTGTGTGTGTGGTGTCCCAGTGAGAGTGTGAGGACAGGAGGGCTGCCAGTGACTGGCTGACAGCACGTTGTGTCACCTCTGTGTCACCTCTGCTGGGAAGGACAGAGGTTCAGGCCTGTGTGTGGCTGCCAGGAGCTCTGTGTGCCTTCACTCACCTGTCTGTGTGGTTTGTCCCAGCAAGCCATCACTCTGTGGAGCACAGGGGAGGAGACAGTCAGGGTCCTGGCCTTCCTGGTACTGAACAAGATCTGCAGGCACAAGAAGGAGGTTTACCTCAGCCCCCTGCTCAAGGTAAGCCTGGCTTTGCTGAGCTCTGCACCTTTTCTTCCTCAGGTTGTGTGCAAATACCTCAGAGCCTTGAGCTGCAGATGAGCAGATGCAGGAGGTGATGCAGGCAGCCTGCAGAGACCCAAACAGGGCAGAAATTCTGTGAGCTCAGGGTG